ACATTTCTGTGTTTATTTTGCAGCAGACTCAGCTGGTTCACATAAAATAACTTTTATATTTTATATTATATAGCTTTTATATTTTTATATTATATAGCACAAATATCACAAATATTGTGATATTTGTGCTATGGGCAAAATTCAGTGATTAAAATCTGCACTTGCTTGAAAGTTTAAAAAAGTCAACATTTTTTAACAAATAAACTGCATGCAAGAAACATGCAGCCATACATGCAACCAGAGTTCTAATTGTTGTGATGCTTCACTGTAACCCACAACAATGTGGAGTTCTCTGTTTTAAGAAATCAATCTTAAAATTTAGCTGGGTAATTACAAAATAAATAATATTCTTAATATCCTTTCCATCACAAAAATCAGTGGGTACAGCCTCTCCCATTACATTAGCCATACAGTAATTGTGGTCATGCAGTTTTAATCTCTCATTATTTTCTATGTTTATTTTGAAAGATCAGCTCATTCTCTTGTCTGTTAAATGTTTACGCTGGAAACATTTCATAACATTTTAAGTTCCTCTTACCATTAAATATTCAAAACCAACATCATGATTTCCTTCTTTATAAAAGAGCAAAGCTCTTTCTGATAGATAGTTCAGGAAGCAATCAAAGTTTCGCTGCTAATGCAAAGTTGGATCAAAAATGTAAGAATTTCTGCTCCATCTCTTAATGGAAGGGGGCGAAGAGGATGTAACCTTTGGAGAGATACAATAATAATCACAACACCTCTGTGTCATGGAACAAATATGGTGCAAAACTATCTTTCTCTTATTTCCATATACAAGAGCTGATTCATTTGATTTAGTCAGAATGAAGCTGACTAATAGTGCACCTGTTTTGATGAAAGTATCATCCAAATTCCTTGCCTTGAACATGTGGCTCAAGACCCTAGTTATGTAGTATGATAAGCATACAATCCTTAGAGCTGTGGCATATGCTTGTAGCAACTGAGTTGACTAATCCCATTTAACATACCCACAATACAATTTTTTTGGGGGGAGGGCAAATAATAGTATGTAACTAAGCCCTCCCTGCCTGCAAGTATTCTTCTGTACTAGCTCACATTAATGTTTGCCATTTCTTATTCCAAACACCTAAGTGGTGAACACCGGTTCAATTTTCAGGAACTGCCTGTAGGGAGAAAACATATATTTATTCTACACTCTGTATAGGAACATAGTGATATGTATTTTGCAGAAATGAAAGATCTGATACTGGTTCCACTTATCCTTAAAAAGCAAGTGCATGTTAGGCTGTCTAATAAAGACAGAAACTTTATTAAAAATTGCAATTAAAAATATAAAACTAATACAACTAAAAAAAATAGCACAGACAGGAAAAAAGAAAAAGAAAAATATAGTAAAGAAAAAGAAACTATATAAAGAAATCTCCCCTGCATCGTAAGTATAAACAATTTTAATAATTTATCATCTTATCACTTCTCTTAAATATAACAATCTTCTTCCCATATTCTACCTCTTATCTATAAACAATTTCTTAAAGCCGCCTTGTTCAGTCATGATCAGCAAAAGTCCATTTAGGGTCACCAGAGATAACAAATTATTTTAACGATCAAATAAACTAATGACAAAAATAATACACAGCTGATACTATCTCTGTATCCTAAATACATAGGCATAAATTGGTCAATGTATAAAGATGCTGCAGAATGTAGGTTACTTTGATGCAGTCATTTCTGTCTTTTAGTCAGGTGTAAAACTATGTACAGAAATCACAGGAGAGTTTGAAGGGGCCAAATTATATAAGCTATATAGAGAACAACATTGATATCTTTTTTTCTCTGACAACCCCAAATTATTGTAATGCTCCCTTCTGCCTCTTAATCTAGAAAAAGAAAACTTGGGCTATAGAAAATACTGTCAGGTTAGTGCCAAATCCCATTATATTACCTAGAAATGAATATTTGCAATGGTTGACCTCATGAGAGATAAACCAAAGATATTCATTATTAATATATTGCCATGCCATAGAAATAAAACAGACCTAGAGAAAAAAATGGGAAGAACTGTAAATCAATAACATCAGCAAAACCATAGCATGATTCTGAAGGCCCTTCTTCAGTTTTCTTCCATCCACTCTAATTACTCATTCAGTTTTATAACTAACACAGAAATCAACTATGTCTAATATTTGGCATATAGCATTCAAGCTAAATTTTAAATGCCTTAATAAGTGCATTATTTGGAAGAACTGCTGGGGACCTGACAGAAGCACAGAACCCTACTACTAATTAAAGCAGCCAACTCTTTATTTCAGACTTCGACATGAGCCTGAATAGACATGTTTGCTTTAATAGCTCTGATGATCAACGAGGAATTCCACACATAATAAAAGAAACAATATATTTTGCTGCAGTTTCAGACTGTCCATCATTTATTCCTAACTCAGTACTTTGTAGAATTTCCTAAAGTGCACATTTGATCATTAAGCTGAGCAAGAGGCAGTGAAGTGATAGGTAGGTCTTCCATAATGGTAGTCCTCCTACTTTAGGCAAAGAGGCTTTGAGAAACCTATAGCCTATATAGAGAGCAATGTTTCTCAGTGTTAATAACTTTAGGATGTGTGGATCTCAGTTCCCAAAATTCTCACAATAGCAGGGTTGTGAAACAATAAAGACAACACAAAGTGGAGGATTTCAAGACCATCTTCCAGATAATTTGGAAATGAGAAATTGCCCAAATTTGCCCTCATACACTTGCTGCTTTTTTACTGATATAGTCCTACCATTTCTTACTCAACATTGCTCGGAAACATAGGTGTTACTTCATGGAAAACTAGCATCATCAGAACCAATTGCCCATCTATGATAATACATGCTCCACTCAGAATTTCATGGGAACAATAAAACAATATATACTCTTGCTAGACACTTTGCTGAGGCACTTTCAGTTTATAACAATTCGGCTATAAAATAAAGTACAGCAAGATCAGTTCTTAAGCATAATTAATTAATTAAATTTGTATAGTCGCCTATCTCGATCAAAAGCGATTCTTGACAGTGCACAACTATGTATTAAAAACACAAGATAAAAAATCCACAGATGTGAAAAAGTATATTAAGAAATAAATAGTATAAAAAACAAATATACAAACCCTTAGGCAGAGAGAGAATAAAAATGGCCATCTTAACAACGGAGCCATCTAAGCATATCTCAGGCTCCCTGGGAGCCCGAGGCCTCATAATATAACCAGATCTTGAGGGCCTTCAAGAATGTCAAAAAGGATGAAGCTAATTAATTTTGAGGAAAGAATGTTCCATAAGGTAGGGGCCATGGCAGAGTAGGCATGTATCCTGGGACTTACATGTGTAGTTTCATTACAGAAGGGATCCGCAGCATGCATCTTCTGCCACATGATGGGACAGGTAGAGGTAATTTTGGAGACAAGGGCCCTCAAGCAGCCCAGCCCCATACCATGAGTGGTTTTCAGGCTCAAATCCAGCACCTTGAACTGGACCCAGAAATAATCTGGCAACCAATGCAGCTCATGAAACAGAGATATATCTTCTAGAGCAGTGGTTCTCAACCTTTTTAATGCCGCGACCCCCAACCGGTCGTAAGTCGAGGACTACTCAACCGGTCTTAAGTCGAGGACTACTCAACTGGTGCAGCACCGTTTGCAGAATGGGACTTTTGGTGGGCTCAGCAGGGCAGAGACAGCCTGGACAATTCCTATTGGCTTTTGAAAGCCAATAGAATTAGACTCTATTCAAGAGAGTCTATTCTATTGGCTTTCAAAAGCCAATAGAATAAAAGGGAGTAGCACAGCTAAGGAAAAGGGGGAAAAAAATGGCGGACTGCGTTGTTTGGCGACCCCCGTGAAATGGTTGTTCGACCCCAAATGGGGTCCCGACCCACAGGTTGAGAACCACTGTTCTAGAGGTAAATATAACTGCCTGTGCCATTGCATTTTGTCCCAGCTGAAGCTTCCAGATACACTTCATGGGCGGTCCCATGTAGAACACATTACAGTAAGAGGTTATTAAGGCATGAATGACTCAGCAGAGAATTGATCAAACACTTAAAAAGTGGCAGTGGAAAATCTGTACCGCCAGACCTGCAAGATTGATGTCAGCCCTCCCTGGTAAATCAGACAGGAAACACAATTAGGTGAGCTAATTCTGTTTTATTGAAAGGCTATATTAACAGCATCCTGCAAGTCTAAAGGTTTATCTTTCCCACTGGCGCCTAAGCAACTGATCAAGTAGGGTGGGTTCTTCCTAAGTTTCCTTCTCTGACCATTAAGCCACTGAGGCTCCTCCCGCTCTCGTGTGGTTGTTTCTTAGGCAGTATCTCTTCATCCTCCAAGGCCATCCCATAGATTAAAGGAACAGGAACATGAAACTGGAATAAGGCAATGGACCTATAAACTCCCAAGTGCAGCCTGCTCCCTGTCTGCCACCATACATAATGGGCATAGGGAGAGATGGTCTTCCCCATCCCCAAAGGCAAGATCACCCCCCCCAATCCAGGCTCCCCAGCTCCATAGAAAGTGGACCTCCAATTGTCCTCTATTCCATTCATCCCAGGGAGTAAAAGCCAGGCACCCTGAGGCACTCTCAGCACCATCAGGATTTATTTTTTTTTAAGAAAGAAAAAAAATGACAGAAACAGAAAAAAATAAAGATAGATGGATCTGAGAAAAAATAAACCACACATCTGAAAATTTGCTAGCTTTAAACAATTCTTTTCTGCCTTTTTTCTTCAGTATTTTGTAGGCCAGGTCCAACATACTTATATAAACTTAAAAAAACAACAACAACCAAGTAATTTGTAGGCCAGGTGAAATTTTAGCTCACCAAATTCTCCTCTGTCTTCAGAGTTAAATTGAGGTTACTAAAGCCAACCTTACTCTTCCCACTCAAATTCATCTGTCCACATTAGATGCTGAGGGCAAGAGTTTTAGGTGGGATTGTAAAAGAGGACCTTTCCCACAGATACAGCCTTGGGGCTGGAAACAACTCACCTGCAATCAAGACAAAGGCTAAAGTGGCAAGTGTCAGGTATGAGCCACTGCTAATCATGTTGATGAGCAGCTTGAACAAAGGGTAGAGTAGCAACAAGGCCCAGAAAAGCCAATTCAAGAGAGGCCATGGCCGCCGAGGAAGCACTGTGGGGGTCCCTGGATAGCTTCCTGTCCTGTAGTATTCTTCTTGGAAGGTATCCTAGTTGGAACAATAAGGGGAAGAGCTGGTTATCTCCTAAATTCATTGCCGCAAGCAGGAAGTGGGATTTCTCTCCCTATTTCTGGTGCTTCTGTTCCTCTAGGGAGGTACCACAGAAGAAATAAACCTGATGCTTTTGAACACATTATTCTTCCACCCACCAAATTTCCATTTCTTCATTTGCAAAATTTACAAATTCAATCAGCTCTTCTCTTTAAGAAAATTAAGCAACCACTTTCTGATTTCAGGAATGGGAAATCTGTAACAGCTTAACAGCGAGACCGGGGTGGGCAATTATTTTTCCCAAGCAGTTACATGGGACTGTTATGGAGGGCCATCTCACGGCTTAATCATCCCAAGAATTGTTAAATAATAAACTCACCTTTTCTTGATAGAGTTTGTAAAGCCAATCAGAACACTCCTGGTCGCCTTCGGGAACTTCCTCTAATGGAATCCGTCTAGAAATATTGAAGAAGAGAGCACAGGGTGAAGAGAACAACTAAAAACAAAACCATAAAATCACCCTGCTTACTTTTATTTATGGTGGAATATAAGCAACAAGATTTTTCTCCAAAGCACCTGAAGGCAAGACAAAGAAACAACAGACGGAAACTAACCAAAGAGAAAAGCAACCTAGAACTAAAGAAAAATTTCTTGACAGTTAGAACAATTAACCAGTGGAACAACCTGCCTCCAGAAGCTGTGAATGCTCCTACACTGGAAGTTTATAAGAAGAGACTGGACAGCCATTTGTCTGAAATGATATAGGGCAGGAGTGTCAAACTCGCAACATCACGTGACATGTCGCAACGTACCTCAACTTTTTTTTCATTGTCGGCAATGGGCTAGGTGCGGTTTCGGCATGATGCATCCATGGGCCGGCAGTTTGACACCCCTCGTATATGGTTTCCTGCCTGAGCAGGGGGTTGGACTAGATGACCTCTAAGGTCCCTTCCAAATTTTTTTATTATTATTATTATTATTATTATTAGTGGAAAATAGAAGTTGTTAGAGTTTCAATATAAAGCTTTTTTTTTTTGGCCTTCCATTCAATCATGTCCAATTCTTGGAGAACACCTGGTTTCCTTGGCAAGGATTTTCAGAAGTGGCTTGCCATTGCCTTTTTCCTAGGCCTGAGAGGACTAGAACTCACCATCTCCCAGTTTCTAGCTTGATGCCATCACTACACCAAACTGGCTCTCCTAATATAAAGATATAATAATAAGCTCTATTCATGCAAAAATATGTAGAGCTCAATTCAAAATGCCTTAGACTAGAGGCATTTGCATCACAGCTCCTTTTGGGTTACTATTACACTATGCCCTTTAAACAGGTTAAGAAAGGGGAAAGGTACTTGCCTTACATGTAAATCTGCATGGTATTTCTTCCCATGTAAAATTCCCAGCAGAGTTGGATTTTCATTATTTCTGAAGTTCAGTGTAGAATCATATACAGCTGAAACTATACAATAGGACACATTAAAGCAGGGTGATGGCTCTCAGAGGTTTCAAAACACATCATGAACTTGTGAACACGATGTACGCTCAGTTTATCAAAATGAGGAGCTTTGGCAGTTAAGAGGAAAAATAATAATAATAATAATAAATACAAACAAGGCTAAAAAGGCTGTGAAAGCATGGGCATATTTTGTTGTGTTCCAAGAAGATACAGCAGAAGTTCAAAGTCTAATCCGGCCATAAAAAGGCAAGTTTAGTTTTTTAAATAGACTGGTTCAGATGTCAACCCAACCATCCCTGGTGCACATTATGGGAGTCTACTTTAGCTGAAGAAGGTTCTCAAACTGAGCTTTTGAATTCTAGTGGGTCCCAAATTTGCTAACCACAGCTTGTTGAATGAACAAAGCAGAAAATTGTAATTGTTAAGCGGCACTGATATAGCTTTTTTTTCTTGCTGCAAAGGAGGGAATTAAGAACTTGGGAGCTATATGTGGCTAAATCCCACACCTCAATTAATCAAGATACGTCTGCCTAAACATGATTACTGAGACTTGAAGAAAGACTTAAAGGAAGAAAACATTGTATAGATAACATCACCAACCAACAGGGCTATTTTTCAGAACACGGCAATCAAAGAGTTGATGTCAGCTTGCTTCATTGCCAGATGCCAGTTTAACTAAAACATACATCTGATTACAAACATTTAAAATGGTGTCTTAGATGCGTTGGGTATGTCATTCCTTACCTACATTTCTCAAACACTGAGCGGTGATTGCAAATCCTTTGGTTCGCGGGAGGAGGTGATATTTGAGCTTTGGCAAGCCTTTAGCTTCAGCCACTTGCATGCTGATTTCATGTTTTTGCTCGGTAAACCTCGTGCCTTCACAGTGAATCAAAAACTGAAAAGAAGAAGAAGAAAAGGAAACTGAAGAGATATATTGGGGGGAGGGGGGAGAGGAAGAAGTACATTTTTTAAAACAAATTTTATTGGTTTTTTTGATTTTTAAGACAAAGTGCTCAAGACACACTGTGGTGTTAGAGTAGTCAAACATCCAAAGACAAAACATATATACATAATTCAATCAATACATCGTATTCCCTCTCTTTTTCCCTTAAGTGACATAATTTAAAATAGTCCAATTCTAGCTTAAATTTATTCAACCTAAACCTGTTTTTAAAGCTTTATAAATTTACACTACCATAATCAAATTAACAAACATCATTAATTCGGGTATCCCTTCCAAATATGTTCTAGTTCCTTAATTTTATCATTATTTATTTCTTCTTCCACAAATATCCCTTATTTAAAATAAAATATTAATCTATCCTATACGTATCTAATCCATCCATCAATCAATCTCTTTAAGCTGACAGAAGAAAATCAAATCTTAAATCATTTCAATCTATTAGACAGAATTCAAATTTCATCCAATTGTCATAACTAATAACATCCACGTTATCGAACAAACAAATCATCTTATTAGATTAATGCAACATTAAATAATAATTTTCTTACAAGTAAACCTATCGTTCTAAAAAAAGACACATTCTTAATCAACTTAATATATATATTCCATTAATCACCCCTTTTTCTATTACTTCTAACTCACAATCTTAGTCCTTAAATCAATCCATAATTAAATTGCCTTTAATCCATTACCTAAAATTTTAAATTTCACTTCTTTTCAGTCTTATTCTGGGCTTCTTCTTCTGCCAGGTAGGTTTCCATAGTAGAGCTTCCCTTCCAGCTGATAAGTCTCTTTTTATTGTTTGTAATATCCTTTGGCTCAATGAAGACCATCTTGGCCTCTGCATTGGCCCTCTGTTTCTCTTAACCATAAAGTCTCGTTGCTTTACCATTTCAAATCTCAGTCTTTGCTTTTTCTGATCCTCAACACCATAAGTGAACTGCTTATACGGCAAAATCAATTTCTCTTTATTCTCAGTTAAGTCCTCTCCTTGTGTAATCTGTTTTATAGAATAGTCAGCTGTAGTCTGAGAGTCAATTTAGAAGTTTAAAGGAGAGATTCTGGCTCTTAATTCTGTAGTAAACTCTTTCATTGTAGCACATATTTCTTTTTTAGCCTCATAGATCTTTTCCAGAATAAGTTTACAGTTTAAATGTGAATGCAGCTCCATTTTAAAAATTGTTCAGCTGCATCAAGTTATCTTTCTCTTAAAAAACAGTTTGAAGGCCGAAACCATCTCATCTCCAAATAGTCAACAATTACAATATTAGCTTTTGACTGGTAGATGTCCTCAGTAAGCTAAGAAATCTTTTTTCAAGAGTCATTTTTTTTCCTTTTTTCTATTTTTAAAGGAAAAAGTGGAGAAAGAAATACTCTTCCAATGTAAGATAATAATACCTCTCAAAAAAAAAAAAAAAAAAGAACAACAGCATAAACTGATAGTACAATTCTTAGGAAAAAAAAATTTCAATACCCCAAGACTACATATTAAGACTACATATTAAAAAAATGTAGTCTTTAAAATTTTGTTCTGTTCTTTTGTTCAATGCCTTTCTTCCCCAACATGTAGAAACTGCTTTTCCAAGCCAGGGAAATAATTCCAACAGGGCTTTTATAGGCAAAAAAAAAAAAAAAAAAAGCAAAATAGGATGAAGAGAGGAACAAAAAAAAAAGTCTCACCCGATTCACCATGGTGGGTTTTCAAGCTTAGCTGGTCTTTGACTTGTGGTTTCTAGCAACTAGGTGATCGGCCATTTTACTGGCCAATCTTCTTCTCCGTCGGCCCTCAGAGTTGGGCCGGACAGCTGGAGGAGCCGCTGCTCTCCACAGCTGAGCGAAGCCTCTTCGACAGAAGTTGCACTCTCCAGGGCAACTTTCGACCCGCATAAGGGTCTACTGGCAGAGGGAAGCTAACCGACGAGGAGACGAGTCTGTTCGTGCGACTAGGAGCCCCGCAATCCGGAACCGGATGTCAGAAGAAGTACATTTTTTATGGAATACTGCTTGCCAATGGATGGGGCACAGAGGAAAGCCAAAGATCACTTCTATACATTAATCTATATATTAATCGCAGCACTGTGATAAATCACAAATAGACATCTTTTTCTTCAGACCTAAATATAATGACCCAGAATTCAGGAAGAGCAATCTGCAAAGTCCTTCATGTTTTACTACAGATTATAGCTGATAAGGCCTTTTTTTGCAAGAACAATTAACATTCAGTTTTAGCATCACAATGTTCTTTTTTGAGTACCAGTAGCTGCTTTCTCTCTTGTCCAAAGAACACAGCCATTTCCTGTTTGAATAGTTCCTGTTTGAATTATTTTAAAAACACAAAGACTATATTGCTATGAGCACTATTTTAAGCACAAGTAGTTGGAACAGGGTAAAGTTATGCATTAAGGAGCATTTCACCATAAACATTTATCAATTCTTATTTAGACTCTCCTATCTGATTCAGCAGCAATCACAGAACGCAGCACCGTATCAGAAATAGCAGACATGTTCCCTGGAAGATGGTTTAAAGCAATATTGGTTGCATTCTGAAGGTCAAGCTATATATTACATTTGGAGGGGAAATAAGAGTCGCCTTATCGGTGAGATGGACAGCATATAAATGTATCAATACATAAATAAAAATGGGGCCTCCTCATTTGAATCATGGTGGCTCTATAAACATTCAACCTTCATTGGATACCAATGCAGCAAGGGCTGAATTAGATGCATAAAATGTGTGGAGCAAAAATGGGCAATTAATTTTCCCAAGGGATCACATTATAAACTGGGACTGTTGTGGGGGGCTGAACCAAAAGGGGTGAAGGGGTGTAGATATGCAAGGGCTGTAGATATGCAAGGGATGTAGCTATATAGCAGTCATCATCAAAATAAAAGCAATTCATAAGGGCTGGACAGGGACAGCCAAAGGGCTGGATGTGGCCTGGGGGCCATATAATACCCAGGTCTGGTGTACAGGGTTTCTTTTTTAAAGCAGCAAATGGCATCAACTGAGGGAGAGGGAGGGAGGGAGGGAGGGAGGAAAGAGAATGGAAAATATTTTTTAAAAAATAATTTACTTGATGAAGGAAAATGTGGCAACTATCACAGAAAATGAAACTCTATTCTCTACAACACACAAGTTCCTAGGTCAGTGATGGTGAACCTTTTAGAGACCCAGTGCCCAAACTGCAACCCAAAACCCACTTATTTATCACTGGGTGCTGGGTGGGCATGGCCATGGTGGTCATGGCAGACTCGGTGGGCGGGACCAGGGTGGAGGGGGCCAGTCCCTTACCATCTCCGGGGCACGGCACGCGTGCCCACAGAGAGGGTTCTGAGTGCTGCCTCTGGCACATGTGCCAAAGGTTCGCCACCACTTCCTAGGTAGACCCAAACAGATCCTCAATGGATCTTTTAATGTGTAAAAGCCAAATGCAGGTCTTTTAATGTGTAAAAGCCAAATGCAGGTCTAATAGCAAATGCAGGTTTAATAACAAACTGCATCCAGTCCATATTGCACTCTAGATTAGACCAGCAGTCAATCTTTTCAAAACTGGATCCGTTTTAAGATGCAAATTCTGACAAATGGCTGCACTTACCAGTACAGCTATTTACTATAATGACTGCAAAACATAGCAGCCTGTGTGCAGACTTGTGATACTCAGAAAAGGTTTGGACTGATAAGTCAAATAGTCCTATCAGTATTCTATACTGTCCAATACAGCAAATGTCCCAACGCTGATTTTTCTCTAATGATCAGAGGTAATCTGCAATCAGAATAGAGCTGGAAGAGACCTTGGAGGTTTTCTAGTCCAACCTCCTGCTCAAGCAGGAGATCCTATACCCTTTCAGATAGGTGGCCGTCAAGTCTTTTCTTACGGTAAAAACCTCCATGGATGAAGCACTTACAACTTCTGAAGGCAAGCTGTTCCACTGGGTAACTGTTCTCACTGTCAGGAAATTTTTCCTTATTTCTAGGTTGCTTCTCTCCTTGATTAGTTTCCATCCATTGTTTCTTGCCCTGCCTTTAGGTACTTTGGAAAATAAGTTGACCCCCTCTTCTTTGTGGCATTCTCTCCAATACTGGACTACTGCTATCCTGTCACTCCTAGTCCTTTTAAAATACATATGCATGCATTTAGACTCACTTTTTAATTGTTCTTATATAGGTAGTCCTTGACCTACGACCGTAATTGAGCCCAAACTTTATATCGCTAAATGAGAAATTTGTTAAGTGAGTTTTGGTCCATTTTATGATTTTTCTTGCCACATTTGTTAAGTGAATCTCTGCAGTTGTTAAATTAGTAATACTGTTGCTAAGTGAATCTGGATTTCCCATTGAAAAGGGGGGAAAGGTTTGTCAAAAGGTCAGAAAAGGTGATCTCATGACCCCAGGACACAGCAACCGTTAATAAATATGAATTGGTCATCAAGTATTTGCATGTAAATTACACGACCATGGGAATGCTGCCATGGTCATAAGTGTGGAAAATGGTCATAAGTCACTTTTTTCAGTGACATTGTAATTTTGGTTTTTTTTTAAATAAATATTTTATTAATGTTCTATTTATACAATCAAGTACTTAATAGACAATGTGTTGTCTGGGTCCATTAATAATTCAGTGGTATATATTAACTTCTTCAATCTACATCCAATATTGCACCGTCAAATGTTTCCTCTCTTCTTCCGGTAGTACCTGTTTTCCCACACTAGGCAAATACAATTCTTATTGTTATTAGTAAATATACAACCGAATATCAACATCTTTGTTACATTTTTCTCATAATATCAGTTTTAGATTACTTTTCTAACCAAAACATATCTTAATTGCATTTGCTCTTAATATCCGTATGTTCAATCAGTATCCTGTTTTTGCTTTTTTTTTTAAATTTTAATTTCCCATCAGTGTTCAAAAGTTCCAAGCATCTGATCATGTGATCATGGGATCCTGCAAGTGTGAAGAACGAGGACTATCTGCATTTGTATAGTAGCATTGGCCGACTGGACAGGGAAACATTTACCTTTACCTTTTATAGCCATTTTATAATCCATTTTAAATCAAATTGCAATTCCAGCCAAGCATCTGAAGAGTAGGCAATACAGATAGTCTTCCACTTAAAACAATTCATTTAGTGACTGTTCAAAGTTACAATGACACTGAAAAAAAGTGACTTATAACCATTCTTCACACTTGCAGGATCCCATGGTCACGTGATCAGATGCTTGGTAACCAACTCATATTTATGACAGTTGCCGGGGTATCCCGGGGTCATAAGATCATCTTTTGAGACTTTCTGAGGAGCAAAGTCAAGGGAGAAGTCAGATTCACTTAACAGCTGTGTTACTAACTTAACAACTGCAGCATTTCACTTAGCAACGGTGGCAAACAACATCTTAAAATGGAGCAAGACTCCATTTTAACAACTGTCTCATTTAGCAACAGAAATTTTGGGCTCAATTGTGGTCGTAAGTAGAAGACTACTAACTACTAAGTGGTTTTCAAGCAACTATCTAAATGTCTACTCCATTCATGGGAGAAAGAAAACCCCTTCCACCTAACAAATAGTATAAGAATGCAGCCATATAAACTTTTACAAAATGCACAAGCTGCCCTGAATTTAACAGGTTTTTGAATAGATATGTCAACTCATGCAAAATAAAACCTACACGGGTCAATTTCCTTTCGAAAGAGCAGTATTGAAATAACATAAAACCAATCTTCCAGAAAGTCAATAGAAATAAATCCATGAGTCCAAAATAGAAATAAATTGTGAGCCTCGTAACAAAATGGATCTAGATGTATAATAATAATAATAATAATAATTATTATTATTATACATCTAGATCCATTTTGTTACGAGGCTCACAATTTATTTCTATTTATTATTATTATTATTATTATTATTATTATTATTATTATTATTATTTGCAGGTTTTTGCCTTTTTTTCCCCATATGCCTATGAGTTTCTAATAGTCACCCAATTTACTCCCTTCTCATTTTTCAATGAATGAATAAGTAATTTTCCCACTTATGACTCCACCTGCACTCTCTTAATGGAAAAATGAAATTGAAATGACTATCTTATCTCCCCTTTTTGATTTCTAACACCAAATCTGTGTTCAGTTTCAGTTTCATAGAGTATTTTAACCTCACACCTGCCAGGCCTTCTAAAAATGCAATTGGGATGAGGGTGCTACTTGACAGTAATGTTTCATACCCAGAAGTATTCAGGATAATCTCGGAGATTAAACAAGCTACGCATGACAGTTTTCCGATCCTCCTCCCATTTTCGCTTGCAGAATACCATCTCTAGGAAGTACCACATCCAGCCGATGATCGGCATGTAGGAAAGTTCTTTCTTGGCAAGGACTTTGGAACTCTATAAAACAAACAGAAAAGAGGCTGAGACAGAAATCCAAATTATTTGGATAGATATTGGTACAATATGGCGAGAAGATGGAAGTGCTGCCATTTAATGAAGTACAATTGGCTCCCAATGGCCTTGGAAAGAAACATATAAGTATATATGTTACTTTAAAGCATGTAAGTATATATGCTGCTTATAAGTAGCCTAGTAGCATATGCCTTTTTCAGGACAGCAAAATCTACTGGGTGATCAATGAAAATTCCAGATCCTGAGTTATTTCTTTACATGGTGACCAGACTGAAAAGTTTTCCCTTGTTTGTCTGGTGTTAGGGGTATCATAAAGAAAACTAGAATCAAATCAGGAAGAGCAAGGAATAAAAAACATTAACATACTCAATAATGTTTATTTCTTCTGTCTTTTCATCAGCTTTTAAGAATGAGCTGCAAATAATTTAACAACAAATAATCAACCAATTTAAGACCCCCACTATTTTAGTACATGTTCTGGCACAAATGTGCTTTATCACCTTCTGAATTTTCATGTTTCATTGCATAGTTACTATTCCCTGTTATGAAACAATATTCCTGAATTCAATTATTGCTACTCAAAGCAAATTCACTCTCAATTCAACTTTTACACAGTCTGCTTCATAAGGCAAATACTGTCCCTTCTTGAAAAAGTAAGGGGGGAAACTATTTTATTTTATATAAATATTTTATAAACGTGTAAAATATAAACATATCACGTTATATACATTACGAATGAATTAAAAAAGCTTAACTTGAACATAATGAACATAATTATCTCCAAATAAAAGGAGTGAAACTTTTAAAAAAAGAGACTGATTTGAGCTTCAGTAGGGTCAAGACTACGTTTGAAAAAAAAATGTACTAGAGAACCTTGTGCAAAATCTGAAAACTTCTCTGCATCAACACCATCACTAAAGATAATCAACTTTCCTGATTGATGTTAAAAACAAGTTTAAGGTAGGCTGAAGTTATCAGGACAATTAGGCATTATCCTTGCAGCAGCTTGCATCATGCTGATTTAAGATCTTTTATTCAGCAGCAGAATACCATGTCAACATTGTACTAACTGCTGTTCAGTAGAAAAACAGTGTCTTTATTATAGCACTCGAATTGTCATTCAAAGTACTCTTTGTTCTATTTTCATTCTGGGTATTTGGTTACTACTTCGTTATTAGAAAGCTTTACTGATCTGTCAAATGGAAATCAAAACTAAGAACAAATACAATTTTTCAGCTAGGGAAAAATAAACACTTTCTTACCTAATGAAAGTGATCATTTTAATTGTATTATGTCAACCTTTGTAATGCATTTTAACCTTATACCTTGCAGAAATACTCTTAATATAGCCTAACAACATGTTTTTCCAAGTGTCAGGGCAGTGATCAGTGCCCAAGTAATTGGTTCTGTTGGATCCAGAGAATATAAGCACTCTAGAAGAGATTTTAAGCTTTATTATTAACCCAAGCAAACATTTAAAAGTATAACATAAAAGCATACATACCAAGCAAGATGATACCCAACAATACCCTAAAAATACTTAAACAACAGTACTAGAGTTTTTATTAAAAAAAAAAAACTGGCACCATGATTTCATGGCCCTGCATCTTGGTTCATGGTTATAGGACTGTGAGACCTGACCTTGACCAGGTAACACGTTCAAAAGTCTGAGACTTTCACAGATAAGGAAACTTTACTGCTTTGTGAAGGTCTCCCCCCCCCTTGTTCTTCTTTACTCAGCAAATAAGAATAAAACAAACCAGCATGTTAGATCAGAATTAGCTCCAAACTTCTAGACTTTTCTTAATATGAAGAAGGAATCAAAATATGTCACTAAACTCCTTGAAATATCAATGGTCTTCCTCATTGCCACTATGCAATATCAATTGTTTGATTCAACGTTTTGAATCACAAGGATCAGTCAAACATAAAGGATGAAACCCATTCTGCTAAACACATAATGCAACATGAGAAAAATGATCACGCTACACAATTCAATATTCAATATATAGAAGGTCACTTTGGGCCACTTATTATAGGGTACACTGACTTCTTTCCTGCTTGGAGTACAAAATGCAAGTAACAAGAGAGAAATGCACATCTGCCTTTCTTGGAAAAGGAGCTGATAATTGAAAAGTAAATTAAGCTAAATGTAAACACAGAGATCTCGACAGACGATGCACGCACTCATGATGAAAAACCATCATAAACTGGAGAGAATCTTACACCTCACATATTTTCCTTAACTCTGATCACATTAATTCAAGCAGATCTGTTTGTCAGATTTGAGACAAAGCTCCAGAGAATGTATATAATTTTATTTACATAGCAGAATAATCCTGCTTCAAATTACCCCTAACTATTAGTATACTGAAGGAGTCCAGTGATGAAAAAGAAAAGGAATCTAAATTCTGCCTCTTGAAAAGAAAATCAGAGACACAAGTTGTGAATGCTTATTTCAAAATTAATGACAGATAGGGGTATGCCACAGGAGAAGTAATAGGACTTTGTTCCTTTAGCCATTGGCTGTTTATGCATTCAAGGGCACTGAATGTCCCTGCCGATGCATCACCTGGATTCTAGTTATTGTCACAATCGGTTGTCTTGACAAGTACCAAATCTGCCCAACTTCCCTGAAAGTGACACATACGGGTTTTGACACTATCTCTGATATTATGAATGCTGGTACCCTTTAATACTTCACTGACAGTTCAAAGCAATCCTTTTCAAAACGTTTCTTTTGTTGGGTCAACACTTTTCTAATGCTAAGGGCAACACTTCTGCTTTTATTTCTCGAGCTTAAAAAGCAGGAGAAAATTGATAAATACTTTATCACCGGTTATACAACAAAAAGATCATTCTGTCCTTCAGTGCTAGTATTTCAGGATGGTTCACAGCTGCAAATTAAAACTGAACAATAAATTCAGGTTGAAACAAAATATTAAGAATACGAGAAGGAAAAAGAGGAGAATAAGCACAAAATCCTGATTTATAATTCTGGGTATTTTCATTGGACCATCGAAAAAGAGGAGAATAAGCACAAAATCCTGATTTATAATTCTGGGTATTTTCATTGGACCATCAAGCCCAGTGCTCTGCCTAGTGTGTGAATTCGAGTTAAAGCAAATTAAAGATGTCTGTCTGTCCTCTGCCTGGACTTGTCTGATGAAAAGGAGGTGACCATCTCTCTGGATAAGTGGTTTCACTTGTGAACTGTTCTTACTTTTAAGGAATGTTTTTTCTAATATTCAATCAGGATCGGTGACTTTGGAATTTATGCCCATTATTCCCTTATCTGTGTTCTCCAATGAGCAAGAACAGATTTTAACCATGGGATATCCTTCCAAGTACTTGAACAATGCTATCATGCCTTTCATTAAGTCATCTTTTCTCTAAGCTAAACATACCCAGCTCCCTTTCTTAGGGGGGGTTTCCTTTCCACAGGTCTTAGTTTTTAAGTATCCTGGTTGCTTTTTTGAAGTTGTTATATTTTGGTTTGAATATTTAAACTGTCATCCCCAAAACGGAAACAGTACTCAAGAGGGTCTTTGACCATTGACCATTGTGAGTTAACAATTATTTCTCATAATTTGGATAATTTACTTTGGTTGATGTAACCTAAAGTTTCATTGGTCTTTTTTGACTGCATACTTGGCTCATTCTCAAGTTGCAATTGCTTGCTATTCAAGCAGATTTTTCAGAAATACAATTGCCATGGTACATATCTCCCATACTACACTCCATCTTATTTTTATTTCTGTTAATTCAGCCCATTTCTTGAAACTATTGTGGATTCTTAATTTTATTTCTGTTTTCTATGGTAATAGCCAATTTTGTGTCATCTACATTTAATATTCCTTACACCTCCATCAAAATAGTAATAAGAAAGGAATAACAGCAGAGAACCAAGGAGATGAACATTGTGGAACTCCACTCAATACCTTTTTCCAATTTTATTTTACCACTGATGAATTATTTTTGAACCAGCAATTTGTCCATTTAATCCTCATGTTATGTAATCTATTTTATAATCATCAATTAATCAAGACATATATTAAGGAAGTTGTCTAATTAAAATACATGCTCAATTTAGCAAGATTGTCTGTGGCTTTCTGTATCCTCCCCTATTCCAGTTTTGAAGATAGGGACATTTGCCCTCCTCTACCATTTGGCACTTCACCATTTCTCAAAAGATAATGCATATCAATATAGCTAGCCCAGCAGCAAGTCTCTCCATTATCCTAAAATGCAATTATTACTGCTTTAAGATACAGTGCAATTCCTTGTACTGTTCTACTGTTTTTGTTCCTTTGGAGGGGAAAAAAATTACGTTCTTCAATTGCTGCATTCAAGCAAGGAAGTAATTCTGCTATTATTCCTGTATTACCTCTTCAATCAGCCTCCTCCTCCTCCTCCTCCTCCTCCCATTTTTATATTCCATCTTCTTTACTTTTGAGCCTTCTTTTAATTATGAGCCCACTGATTAGGAAGCCACATTTGAGCAACATTTCCATTTTGCAAAGTGTGAACAAGTCTTTATCTAAGCACTTTCCTTCAGGATCTTTGTTTGTAGCCTCTATGGCGTTAAGTCACTCTTAACTGTCTTTGGCCAAACACATATTTGGCCAAATATGTTCTTATTATTCCTTGTGAGGACAACACATTTCATGCTAACTCATCATCTTCTACATAATGAGAATTTATGGTCCCAGATACCATGATAGTTTTTATAAATTGTTCTCTCGTAGTCCAGATCTGGTGGGCAGCACACATAATGAGCTGAAAGAGTGGTTGGTAGGCATTTGTTTAAGATCCTAGTGGTAAACAGCCCCCAACTACCACAGCTCTTCCTTTAGTCCTACAGAACATAGTTGTACCTCTGCTTTTAGGGATCCACTGTTCTGGACCTACAGTATTTCTCTCTTCTAAATGCCCAGAGCCTGTTTCACTGCAAGAACCTGAAAACTGTTTCTGGGATATAGCAAATGCAGAGTATTAATAAGGGAGAATATTGACACGAGGGGTCTTTGGTGCTCTCTAAGCTTGCTTGTTTTCTTGCAGATATTTCATTACCCAAACTAGGTTACTAGTGCCAGTAAGGAGTGCTAATGATGTTGCCTAGTTTGGGTCTGCAAGAAAACAAGCAAGCTCAGAGGACCCCTCAAATGCAGAGTATGTTCACTATCACTTGCTTCTATCTGGGTTTGCTTTTCGGTTTGATTATCTTCTGAACGAATGTTTTTCCCACTGCAAGTCTTCTGTTAAAGAGTCTTTAACTGAAGCAATAAATCACTGTCTTTTCTCACTGAAGGATGACAATTCCTTACTCTATTATAACATTTTCCTTCAAGGGAATGCTATAAGCTTCCCTTGGCTGCAAAACATGTCATCTTATTTTCATGCAGCCAGACAATGCCTCAAACATTGTGACCCACAACTACAGATTCCTTTCATATTCATTTTGCTTTTTAGGACAGCAAAAATGTATTTTTTCTTGTGCTATTAGCCAAATACAAACTCCTGACAAAAAGGGGAAATTTATTATAGAATGCACTATTGAAAATACAGTGCCCAACCAACCAAATTATACCCAAGTACCTAGTTGAATCTCACCGTTAGAAATATATGTACACCCAAAATTTACTCAATTAGACAAGACCACAACATATAAAAACATCTTAGATGAAAGAGGGGAATTGAAATCCAGGAAAACCATCCACGATGAAGGGATAGAATTAGAATGATGGGCATACCTGCAACTGCAGGCGAGATATCGGAAAGACAAAAAAGAGTTAGGCATTAAATTAGAACCAATAGAATTGGATAAAATAATTTTGGGGTCGGAGGATAAAATGATTAAAAAATTATACTACTATTTGCTAGATCAGGCAATGTACGAGGAACAAGTAAAAGTGACTATGTTGAATTGGAGCAAGGACTTTGGTCTTAATTTTGATCTGCACATATGGCAAGAACTATGGGCAAGAAACAAGAAGCTTACTTTGGCCACCTCTTACAAAGAGAACCTTTACAAAATGTTTTATAGATGGCATCTCCCACCCACAAGATTGTCTAAAATGTATACCAATGTTTCCCCTAAATGTTGGAAATGTAATTTGAAAAGTGGAACTTACTATCATATGTGGTGGGAATGCACGCGAGCTTGTGATTTTTGGAACAGGATTAAAATATGGCTGGAAGAAATATTAGAGCAAGCGGTAGAACTAAAACCAGAACTCTTTCTATTAGGTTTAACTATGCAAAAGCATGACAAAGGTGTACTTTATTTAATGCTACACATTTTAACGGCTTCCAGGCTGGTTTTTGCTCAAAATTGGAGGAATAAGGGAACTCCAACGGAAGAAGAGATACTGCATAAAATTCTATCATGTGCTGAGATGGACAGGCTTACAATGATTATGAAAGACAAAACAGAACACAAACACTTCAAAATCTGGGGAAATTTTACCATTGGTATGAATTAAGAACTGCTCGGACTTCAAGTTAATGGTAGAATTAAAAGATATACATAACTGTACATATAATTGTATATATAATTGCATTGTATGGAAGATGAGGCTTATATAGAGGTTAAGAACAATGTATTAAACTTTTGTACTATGATAGGAACTGATAGGAAAATTCACTCTGGAATGTCATGTTTGTCCATTGTTGTTTTAATTGTATTATGAATAAAAATTAAAAAAAAGGAAAATACAGTGCCCAACAAAATCTCTATTCATATAATGAGCTGGTAAATAATAAACTATAATATCATTTTCAAGTCACTCTGTAGCGTGTAATAACAAATTCTTCGTCTGCATTTCATAACACTTTGCCCACATTTTCATTGGTTAAAACATCAAAAATTTGGTTGATTTGGTTGTGTTTTAGCACGATACACAAATCAACCCCAAAATATAAAGCACAGTTTACAAAGTACAACTTATGAGATCAGACCTCACAATAAGTCAAAAACAAACTAGATTATTAATTAACCTGATCGGCAAGATGCCTTTTATAAATTTAATGTGGACAACTTGCTCTAAATTATGCCTTTTCTTTATATTTTTCAATTCAAGTCCTAACCATTTCTGAATTATAGTAGTTATTTTTTTAAAACAACTTAAAGGAATTCACAACTGGAATTTCATGGTTGCTTCATAATCTGCTGCCTTAAACGCATAATGCAATATGAACAAAAACAGGATCATTCTTAGTTTTGATGTCCTGGTTTCCATTCTGAAAACACATTATTATTCTACTCCCTTAAAACACATGAGAATACACTACATTTTTAAAAAAAAAATGCTGAGATCCTCTTGCTATAGAAAATTAGAACTATAATAGAAGTAGAAAGATAGATAACCCCAACCAATAGTAGCAGTATCCCAACCACCTGGTGGTGCTGTGGTTAGAATGCAGTATTGCAGGCTCTGCCTACAATTTGGAATTCAATTCTGACGGGCTCAAGGTTGACTCAGCCTTCCATCCTTCCGAGGTCGGTAAAATGAGGACCCAGATTGTTGGGGGCAATATGCTAACTCTGTAAACCGCCAAAGAGTTCTGAAAAGCACTATGGAACAGTATATAAGTCTAAGTGCTATTGCTATTCCTAATAGTAGTAGTACTAGTAGTATAGTAGTAGTTGTAATTATTAAGATTTATTATGGCCATCTATACCAAAAGACTATTGGTGGCTTACAATTTCAAACATACAATGAAAGTTATAAACTAATTTTCTGCTCTGTGTTCTCTCTAATTTTATTTCATTTTTTAAATCAACTTCTCACAACAGCACAACTTAATAGTCATCCCAAATAAAATGTTATGATAAACACACCCAAATCTTTCTCCCTTGAAAGAAAGGAATGCAAATGTCTTAACTTTTTACTGCGAAAAGTGGGAAATGGACATAATATTATTTCTATCAGTTGCATTCCCTAGCACATTTGGAATTAATATTTTAGAAAAATGAATAAGATTTTTTTCCTTAACAGCAACATGAAATATGACCACTATCATATACTTTGTTTGATTGATTATTGACACACGAGCCTAGAACATGAGGAAGAATCTTCATGGCAATTATATAAGAGAAGACCATTTAATATATTTATTTGCAACTTCTACTTCAGCAAAATCCTAAATGATGTATTATTTAAAGTAGTACTGGTAGTAGGCTTAGTCGCTATATTTGACCTATTATTTGCTATTTTAAGCTTTAATTGGTGAAGAGTCACAGAGATGTTTCCCAAACAATACCAGTCTTCAAATTGTTCCAGGCAATATTAAATATTTAGGAGTTATTATTACTACAAATGATATCTACTGTATTTTCTGGCGTATAAGATGACCCCCGACTTCGGAGACGATTTGCATGCTTTAGAAAGTCGTCTTATACGCCAGAAAATACAGTATTAGTCAAAAATAGTTATAATCACCTTCAGCACAGATTTAGAGCAAAACCTAAGCCTAGGCAGCACTTTATCACTTGATAGAAAATTTGCAATTAAAATAATTCTACTGAAGATTTTACACTGAAGACAGTTTTGAAATTCAAACCTTAACCAAGAAAGCATCCAATGGAAGTAGAATTTAGTTAAGTGCCTAATTGTTGAACAGATTGAGCAAATCATGGGCTGTACAGATCTACTAGACACTATAATGGTTTCTTTATCCTCCAAATTGCTTCAGCATTTTAAAGCCAACAGAAGAAAAAAAATAGAAATATTGAAGGAAAGACATAAATAAATGCCAAATTGGCTATGAAAGCAGGTGTGTTGCATCACACTGGAGAGAAAAAAAGAATCTGTTAACATGTTAATAAAAACTCACCCCCAGAACACCAAATTTTTCACAATAGCTCCAACCACAGACAAAGTCAATTTCAAAGTTGTGATTAAGGATGACGATGGCATTCTCATTACCAATCTTGTGCATTGATTGTTGATCTATAGAGATGGTACAAGTTGTGCCTGACCACCATTCCAGCAACATCACCAACTCTGAAACAAATAATAGCAAATGATTACATAACCATAGTACCTATGGCTTAAATAAACAGTTGCTTTTCTACTGAAAGGAGGCAAGAAGTGTGCCATTTCAATATTCCTTCTGTTGTGCCTATGGCTACCCAAGGTTGGGCAGGGGGAAAACATGGTCTTTTTTTTATATTGGCTTAAAAAGCAAATTGGGTGCTTCATACATAGCAGGCACCTCTTCAAGAGAAACTTTTATACTGGCCTTCTCCAACCTGGCGCCCTATATATGTGTTGATTGTCCACATCGCCTAATGTCTGAGAAGGCTAATAAAAGTTGCAACTCCAACACATCTAGAGTCCACCAAGTGTTTTTTTTTTTAAATGACATCATTATGGCACTCTTGCAATTTTAATTTTTTAAGATCTTTCCTGGAAAGAGAAAGTAGACATTTATATTGTAGATGACTAAAAATCACAAGCATGGACAAGAATATGTGCAGTTTTCTGATTCTAGCTATGGCTTACTGCAGCTGCTATAATATATCAAAATGGAACCAACTTCTTTACAGAAGCCTAGGGTAGATTCCTAAGCCACCATGAGTGAACTGCAGCTACAACAAAGGCAAAATCTACATGTACCTTCAGCATATCACAATCTGGCTTGCAAGGAGAATGGCTTCATGGTTTAAAAATGAAGAACATCTCTTTAGGTTGTTTGTAAGTATGCTTTCTTGTTTTAAAAAAATAAAGCTAAAGATTTCCCCTGTCCAATCATTTCCAACTCTGGGGCGGGGTGCTCATCTCTATTTCTTAACCGAGGAAGCCAATGCTGTCTGAAGACGGCTTCCATGATCATGTGGCCAACATGACTACATCAAAGTGCTGTTACTTTCCCACCAAAGCGGTACCTATTTATCTACTCACATTTGCATGCTTTCAAATTGCTAGGTTGGGTAGGAGCTGGGGCAAATAATGAGAGCTCACCCTATCCATCGCACAGCACTCGGAACTCAAATTGGACTGTCAGCTTTCCAGCGGAAGGAAGGAAGGAAGGAAGGAAGGAAGGAAGGAAGGAAGGAAGGAAGGAAGGAAGGAAGGAAGGAAGGAAATGAGAGCTTTGCTTTTTTTTTCTAAAGATAAAAGCTAAAGCCTCCTTCAAGTCCAAGATGATTCTTGGCAATTTGACCCACAATCTTCTTTTGAACCAATATTTTCTACTACCTTTTTTGTGATGCTTTTAAACTTTCCAGTGATGCTTACAATCCTGGTAAAGAAAGGAGGGAAAACAAAGTGACCACTTTGATCATTCAAAAGCCCCAATCTGATAACAATAGTTTGGAGCCAAGTGAATGATCTTTGGGCTTCCATGATTCCTTTTCAATGAATCATCCTTGGCATCAAGAAACAGATTCCTTCTTCCCTGGGACTAATGGCAGAGAACAGCAATTTGGTGTCCGAGCTGCTGCCACAACAAAAATTGGAAGTTTAGTAAATTTTTAGTATTGGGTTTTAAATTTCCTTAGAATTTTCTGCTGCAAATCAAATAACATTGGTTAACATCATCATCATTATGAATCATCAATCATCATCATTCTCATTTCTTTACTTTGTACAACTCAAAATGTACTTCATGCTCCTACCTCCTATTTTGCCAATTCCTAGTATGTAAAATCAGTTTATTCATTCTCATTACCCACAATAATTAATTGACCCTACAAATCACTCTACTCATTTGAATATTTTTCCTTCTGATTAAGTTGAACAGAAGAGAAAAGATGAACAATTCATTCTGTATCCTATCCATTTTCACTTGGCTACCTTAATTTGTAAAATATTAAATGGTATCAATAGAACTCTTACTTTGTATTTATACATTTATTTATGCATTTTATGAAAGAGTCAAACATATGTTTGAATTTTTGAAAGCAGAGGACAGAATAATAGTTCCCTATTTTGTGAAAAATAATAATGAGTTGCCACATAGACATTTAAAAAGCTGTCCCGAAGCAGATGATTAGTATTTGTCTAGATTTCAGTCCATACACAAACACATACAAACATATATAACAAATTTAATGATATGTCTCTCCTCTTCTCCTTCAGCCTCTTTTTAATATTAAGAATAAAGAATGTTTTATTCTGGGGAGGGGGGCTTCCTACAGTTGATATGTTACATAATAGTTAATAAGATTTTATCTTTAAGCCATCTTATCCTTTTTACATTATCATGCCTCTGTTAGCTGGATACAGATATATATTTGGCATCAGATAAGGTCGACGAAATTCAGGAGGGGTTGGACTCAGAGCACTTGTGGGAATGCCAAAACTCTAAACTAATGACTAGTTTAACACCTTCCCCCAGCTCTGCCTACACTTCTCCTACATTTTGTGAGATCTTAAAGATGCCAAATTTGAAAAACCCTGTTGTAATAGAATGTTCTCTAAGAGCAACTCATTAACTGAAGCAGTTGCTATTGCTCTTAAACCTGCATATCCATTTAACCTTTATACTCATTGAAACCTCTCCGGTGCATTGAAGCTTTGTTTTCTTCTACTTTGGAATTCAAACTGGCTCAGCTTTTAGCTTCTGAACTGATCTACTGGCCATTTTTCTGTGACTCCTTTTAGAGCTCAGGCTAAGTATGCTTTTATCCTTCCCAATGCCTAATTCTACTCAGAACAAGAAAAAGTGAGAACTGAGTATGTTATCAATGTTGCAAATTATATTCATTATATTACCATCAAAAATTTCTAAGTTACAGTGTATTCAATGTGACATTCAATTTTTATTAATTTATTCTGTTCAGGAAAATTCACCCAGTATGAGAAAAATATTTTCAAAAATGAGATTTGATAGATATAGATATATAAATATAGACAGACAGACAGACAGATAATAAATGGAGGCGGTGAGAAGGGATTCATCTAGCCAAGGTCTAAATTATACCAGAGCATTAGCATTTTTCTAAGCAAAATTACTTTATGCTACAAATATTTCTAATTTGGTGTTTTGTTTTTAAGCACCCAATGAATGTTTAATAATCAATTTGGCATTCTGTCTAAAACAAAATTAGCAAAACAAATATTGCAGCATGCAGTATTTCTATTCAAGGTGCCAGACAACCATTCATACCGTCCTCCACAATATCCCAATTCATTTTCTTCCCTTTTTTCCAGGGTTTCCCCAGGTTAATCACTGTTCTGTACCTTCCTTCCCACTTTGGCTTTCCTTCCTTAAGCATTTTTGTATGATGACATCATGCCTTAGGCTTGAAAGCCATCTGGTGACTTTAGGCCAGTCACACTCTCTCAGCCCTACCCACCTTACAGGGATACTGAAGTATTAGACATGTTTGCCGCCTTATAAAAATAATAAAGGCAGGATATCAATAAATAAATCTTGAGGTTCCCCAGTACCTCTGTTTTGTGTGCATGTATACCACTAATGATATAAAAAGTAAGAGCCTGAATCTTGGAAAAATGACAGAAGCTGTTTTGTATCTAGGAATTCAAATGCTGGTGGTCTGAATTTTGTATCATAAACACCACTTCGTAATTTTAATTGGAGGGTAATATATAGCAGTTCTCCTTGGATTCTTGAGTATCAATATTCTCTTTCAATCTTGGGAGGACAAATGCAGAAAAGAGCCATCAACGTCCATCTCAATTTCTTTCTCAACCATGGAAAGCAAACCTGCAAAGCGTTCAGTGGAATATCAAGGGTATTACCACTACTGCTTTTTTCCTAGACTACCTCTAGCAGACCATCAGATTTCTTGGAGACTCCTATCTCACAGACTTCCAGAGTAAAAAGAAGGAATTTTATATTAACTTCTTTGTGGATCAGTAAGCTCTATCCTTGCTACAAGGATGTGATGAATAAATTAAAGGAATCAAATGTTATTCACATTTTCACATTTTGCAAAAGGACATCCCTGCAAAAGGGGTGGTGGTGGATTTTACTCTTTATTTTCTAGGCATCACAGACACAAAGCTATTTGTTCAGCTTGGATGGTTTTGTGCCATATCCAAGCAAAAAGTTCACACAGAATATTCTAATTTGAATGATCCTTTTCTGTTATACAACACGGCCAATGTGAGTGCAGATTTTAAAAGTCTAATGTATTTATGTGGATCTTCCTCTTCTTTCATAATTTTACCATTTGTTTCATTAATCATTCTGTGCTGAACAGCTTAAATTCTTCTGTGGTGTGTTACATTTTGGTATTGCTTGAACTTGCCACAACACCAATGATCTTTCCTTTTCCTTAGCAAGTAAGTTTGACTCTGTCTTATTTGAACCCAGCTAACGGGGAATATGGGGGAAGCGGATAGCTCAGCCCTTTAATAAGCTGAGCTTGTCACTAGAAAGCTGATAGTTCAAGACCCAAGCGTTGAGCAATGGGGAAAGCTCCTGTAACTTGCCCTAACATCTGCCCACCTAGCAGTTTGAAAGCATGCAAATATGAGTAGATAAATAGGTACCACTTTGGTAGGACGGTAACAGCATTCTGAGCATCTCGGTGTATAGTCATGCTAGCCACATGACTACGGAAACATCTTCAGACAACGTTGGCTCCCCTGGCTAAGAAACAGAGATGAGCATCACCTCCTAGAGTCAGATATGACTGATCAGAGGAAACCTTTACCTTTACCAAGGAACATGCAATCATACTTTATGTATCTTACGCAGAATTGGAGGTTTAAAAAAAAGAAAATCTATACACTTCTGAGAAATGAACTTGTTTGAAGTGGAAAAAGAACTGATAATCAAAAGCAGAATAACTTTGTTTCAATTTGGAGGCTTTCAAATTACTTTAAAACTATTTGCAGCATCAGAGCCTCTTTCCCCAAAACATATTCCAAGTAACAATACAACTTAAAATATTGCTTGACTACATGGATACGCATCTTCATAATTTTACAAGTTATGTAAAATGTGCACAGTTCATGGGGGTGGTAGATTATAGGTAACCTGATTAGCTACAAGCTAAAATATCCAGCCATTACTTTCAACAGTGAGGCTCTTTATAGTAAAAGACGGTGAAATTGATGTGTGCCACAATGTTCTTGCCCAATCAACAATAAATTTTTAAGAGACTGCTACAACAGAACAAAAGGAGTTCTAAATTTCTCTCATAAATCAAGTAATAGGGGAACAGGAAATTAAATTGTATTAGCAATGCACAGGGGCTTGTATAACCATTGCTTCCTTATTTATTTATTTATTTATTTAAATTTACTGATTCTATTCACTCTATTGATTACCAATAAAAGGCAAATAAATGAAAGCAGTGGATAAAAAAAAGAATTCAATTAGTCAGTGAAACATAAGATTAGTAGGTTCAGATTACTCAGTAATCTTAGAACCATATTAATTACAAATCTGTTGGGATCATGTCTACCGACAATTGTTTATTATCTTCACTATTCTCCAGGAAGAAAATAGCACACAGCAGAGCTTCCCACAAACAGTATCTATTGAAGTGGGCAACAATAACAAATTTAAGTAAATAAATTACAATAAAAGTGTCACATTATAGTTTTAAAAAATACAACTGGGAATTCCCTTGCCTTCTTTTTTAAATATACCCTAGTTACTTGAATAATCACCTCAATGTATCTCCAGATTACTTGAAGATAATTTTGCATGGAGACCATGGCTCTTAGAAATTATTATACAAAACACTAAATGCAAATAATCGAAAAAAATATTACCAAGGAAAATTTACTTGGCCTAATTATCTAATGTACAGGGATAATTAATGAAAACACTATTGCTTCTAGTCCTCTCAGTTCTTGACAGGAATTTTGTAAAGTTATTCAAGTACTCAAGTATAAGCACTAAGATACCTTAGTTCCTGGAAGAGGAATTAAAATCTTGCTGGAACTAAAGAAAAGATGGTATTTTTCATCCTGGAACAAATGTGGTCCAAATGCCATCACATGAATATATGTTCCCCAATTCAGTCTAACCAATTTTTAAGGAGAAAATTCCCTTAATACTTTTGCTATTTTTGGTTCTCAATCAAAGATCAATGAGCCTGGTCATAATTTATGGCAATCTTTTGCTTTGTTTCACTGCACTAGCAGACTGAGATTGGCAAAATTTAGTTGTGTTGGGCAGATCAAAACACCTGCCGTAAACCAAGCTGGTCTACTCTGGACTAGAACATTTATTAAAGTATAAATTCATCTACTGATCATCCTTCGTAAATTAAGAAAAAAGTTTTCAATGAAGATGGGAATGCTACCACTCAGCAAAATCAAGTTGGCCCCAAAAATGCGTAGATACCCTGAATGTGGTTTAAAAGACTGAAAGGCACATCAAAACAGATCGTCATCATCTGACAGTAAGTAAATGCTGTTCTGCTCTTGTGCACCTTGTTCTCACAAGTTTTGCCTGACACAAAGAAGTTTTAAATGGTTGTCTCCTCTGAAAGATAAATGTCCCCACAACATTGGAGCTCTTCCATAGCTGAACCAATTCCAGTTGGATACAGAAGAGAATAACATGAATACAACAAGGGCAATGCTGGGTCTGTGAAGGGGGCAATTTTTTGACAGCAAGAACTTTCCTCCCACTCCTCATCTCCCAACATTGCCTCCCACTCCTTCCTCATCTCCTTTCTCTTAAGTCAGGGGTAGGCAACCTCAGCTCTTTTATGACTCATGGACTTCAACTCCCAGAGCATAGCTGAGCATAGCTGACTCAGGAATTCTGGGAGTTGAAGTCCATGAGTCATAAAAGAGCCGAGGTTGCCTACCCCTGTTTTAAGTCAAGGCAGCTATGGTGTTTTGCCACCATTTTATTTTTATTTGAATAGAAAAACGACACTGAAGCTCTACACAGGGAGTGACTCCGCAAAAACAAATAGGGGGAAGGGAATCACTGTCTGGATGCTTCTTCCACTGGTCAGTGTCAGCACAGCTCAGCTCATAGAGTGTATTAGAAAGTTGCAAAAACAGAATCAGTGAAGCCACTCACAGGTCTCCTGAACTTGGATGATTATGCGATGGTGTGCTTAGTTGGTGGCTATGTGACTGTTTGCTTAGACTCTAGTATTGCAACCACACAACTCTTTGTACTATTATTGCATTCAGAAACTTTACAAAATGACTGAGAAAAGTCAAGGTAATTTATTAAAGCATCTTGCCTAAACATTTATACTCCTGCAACAAAGCAAAGTACCTGCTTGTTATCAAAATAAAACTTTGAAAACTATATATGAATTTAATCCCAAACTCTTAGCTAGGTAGCTCACATGCTTCTCATACACAATTAAATACCAATAGTTGGTTCTCTATCAATATGCAAGGTTACAAATTCTGGTTTGTTTTAGAGCAAGTCTAGACAGAATGATTCCCAACTATATAAATCATTATATTTGCAATAATGCAGAATTTTTCCAGAAACCTGGATTATTATGTTCAAAACAATTTATATAAATGAGAGATTAGAAATTCAATTGTAAAATGCTTCTTAAAATATAAACTGATAGCAGAACTCTATGTATATTTAATCAGAATTAAATCTCAGTGAGTTCATCTTCTTCCAGGATAGCAAACATGTAGGATTATAACTTAAGCATTCTTGATTCAGATACATTTTATACCAGTTAATTTGAAAGGGTTCTAAAGTATTTTAATCAAATAAAAATGACTCATTTTCTTTAAAAATGATTTACTCTGATATTTGTTAGGGGAGGAAGGATTTATGATTCTTGTCCTAATTTCTGTACTTAAAAAAAAAAAAAAAACCACAAAAACCAAAAACCCTGAAGCACAGCAGAAATGGTTCACTATTCTCTCTGGGGACAGAGTTAGCATAAAATCTATCTCCTCTAGCAATATCTCTTCATAAGTGATTTCTCTTATTTATTAACAAAGTCCTTATTAATAAGTATACATCCCTAGGGAGGCTCACCAGAGTCATTTGCTGGCTTGAGAAGCGAAGCAGAATAATAAGTTCATATGAAAGGATGGATTTAAGGAAAAGCATATGAGGACCCAGATTGTTGGGGGCAATGTAAATATATATATACATTGCTTACTGGTGTACACTGGTGTACACCGCTTAGAGAGTGCTTGCACTTAAAGCGGTATATAAGTCTCATAAATAAATAAATAAATATTGCCATAATGCTCACAGCCACTTCTTTGAGTTTCAATTGAGTCCTAATTTTGGGGAGTGGCAGGAGATAAGATGATATGACAAGCAGAAACCCGTGGTTGGCCGTTTTTCTTTGTTGATGAGAATACTAATCAACCTTTGTCACTATGCTTGCTTTCCAGAAAAGGTGGTTTCCAAAACAGCCAAATATTGTGTCTAACAAATCTGATGGCACTAGCTTGGGCAGGCTGGTTAGTGCAAACATTTCAGAATGACATTTGCAACCTTTTTGGATGAGACATTAGCTATTCTTGAACTGGCTTTTGACATTTCATACTAAACAATCACAATTCTTTCTTGAGGTTTATTACCTATACTTTGCAGCCCTACTTTCAGAGTTCACGTTTGCAATATGGACAAGATCGACAAAGGATGAGTACTGTGTGTTCAGGTATGCTATATGGCTTGGCTTCTATATTAAAGACAATTAATAAACTTGGTATTTTATTCTTATAGAGACTGGAGTTGGATCAGGAAGGGTAAAGTCCATTAAGGCGGTCAAAATGAACAGCAATGTGAGAAGAGGGGTTTCTGAGCCATCTTACGTCTAAATGCAGACAAGAGAGGTGTCAGAAATAAAAGAGGTTACAATTAAGACAGAGGGTAACTGGGGACCTTCTTCTATTCATTGGCAAAATCTGCATACTGCTGTTGATCCATCTGAGAAAAAAGATATTCAAAAGCTTCACTTTTGCATCATTGAAGTTAACCATCACACAGGTAATCCTCAACTTACAGCTACAATTAGTAATAGTATGGATACTTCAGAACTTTTCTGAGAAAGTGTTTTTTAATGGAGGGGGACCTCCAAACCCATGTATTAAAATACTTATTTCAGTAAAACATCTTTTTTTCCACATTTAAAACCTGTCTGCCCTAAATAACACTCTTTGTTAAAACAAAGGCAAGAATATAAAAACATCTTACGGCTTGATAGAGAATATGACAGCCTGCAGTTGATTTTTCTAAAAAGCTGCTTGTTGAATGGCCAGAGAAGTAGCGTGAAGAGTTGAATGAAGTTGATTATCAGTCCTGACACTATAAATACATAACTGATAATAAGATGACAAATAAATTGAGACTTCATAAATCCAATGATGTCCATGGTTTAAGGTAGCAAGGCAAATCCTCCAGAAAAGGAGAGAACAGGGCTCAAATTCAGAAAGGTAACTGTGGAAAGACAAGAGAACTTAATATTAGAAATAATCTGCATGGAGTGTCTGTTTTGCATTCACTATCTTTTTACTTTAAATTGTCCTCCCGAAATCCACTATTAGTTCTAACTTAAAACAGTTTAAAGAAATGTATGAAAACACGTACCCTGAAACTAACACCATTGTGTAAAGACAATATGAAGAAGGAATATACAACATGGGAAAAACAGGAATATACTGTACCTGCTTGCTCAAACTCTCCGCCTTTCAACAGAATTAGACATTTTAGTTTAAAAATATGACATTTGTTAACAGTTCAAAAAAAAAGAAGTGTCTTATTCACAGCAGTAATAAGTATAGGGCCTGTAAAAACTTGGAAAGTGTGATTTGATAAAAAAATACCCTTTCAGAAAGTGCTTCTTTGCTGCCAAGATCATATAAAACATGCTAAAGTGCAGTGTTACTTGGAAAATTATAGGTCACTTTTGACATTAAAAAAAATAGACAAATCATTTAAAGTTTATTGACTTCAGAGTCTAAAAATTCTAATTTAGATATTTCTAAATGCTTATGTTACTCTTTCCAAGCAATAAAGAAGAAATATTTTGTATTCCTTTTCCATTTTCACTCAAGGAATTTTTGAAGAATGTAATTTGCTATTTGAGCAAAGCATCAGATCCCATTATTGCTATTATCTATCCTTCACCTCTATTTCAAGGTCAGTTATTATTCATGGTGTGCTGTTTTCTCATCCTTTCCTCTCCTCACACATCTCCGAAAAGGAATTGTATTCCTGAGAGATCTCACCAGAAAATAATAAATTGGATAGATGGATGGATGGATGGTTTTGAAAAACTATTGCTACATGTACAAATCAATAGAAAAACTTGTGATTGATTCTAGTTGTTGTTATCATCTAGTCCAGTGGTTCTCAACCTGTGGGTTGGAACCCCATTTGGGGTCGAACGACCATTTCACGGGGGTCGCCAAACAAGGCTGTCCGCCATTTTTTCCCCTTTTCTTTGGCCACGCCCCTGGCACCCGGTGATGTATGAGTGGTTGGGGGTCACCACAACATGGGGAACTGTATTATGGGGTCGCGGCATTAGAAAGGTTGAGAACCACTGATCTAGTCAACCCTTAGTGATTGCAGAAGCAAGACTGTGCAGTTTTTTCTTGGCAACATTTTGAAAAATGGCTTACCAATACCTTATTCCTAAAGTTAAGAGAGAATTGGCAAAGTCCCCCAAATGACTTTCAAGCCTAAAGAACAGTCTCCCAGCTTCTAATCCAGTGCTTTTGATGGTTATTGAAAATTGCACTCTTGTGAATACTGTGCTTATCTAACTGTGAGTCCAGCACTAGCATTCAAACCACAAACACATCTCAGAGCGTTTTACAAATGCCTTCCTTTAGTTGCATAAATTCAAGTCTGCATGACTTTGATACCTATAGAAATTGAATAAATAAATACCATAATGCCAGAAAATCATCACACATTTAAAAGAAAACTGAATTGTCTGAAATTTAAGTAGTTATTTTAAAGTAATATATTAGTTAATAGTGGCTCCATCCTAATTCAAAACTATCAGAGAAACTGCTCTTCCAAAACAGTTCAAGTTTACTTTCTCAGGCACCACTAGAATTCCTTGAAATTATGAAACAGATTTATTTTCTAAAGCAAATACAGTAGTTGTCCAAATTATGAGGCTGCATGCTAGGGATTAGGGAAGAATCTGGTGAACCTATCTTTAAGTGACTCGTAAAAAGAAATACAGAATAGTAAAAAGGGATATACTATAAATGAAATCAACTACTGAGATTGGAATACTTTTTATTCCTTTACTATATTCAGCATTTAGTATTGGATATGTTCTATGGACAGACTACCTCAGATTATTTTCCAGCAATTATTATTTGCAGAAATCAGCCTTCCCATTTATTTAGTCTTATTAGTTAAGAGAAGGAATAAAGATGCAAGCTGTTCAGGAATGGCAAACAAGAGAAGCATTTGGCATAAGTTTCTCATTAACTTCTTAAAAAAAAAAAAGCTGGGCATCCACTTAGCGATCACCATCTTTTTATTTCTTTATGCTTTATTTCAGCTTTGTTAACAATTTTCATTGCTGAACCAAACTCTTCTAAAACCAATATAATGAATATGTTCTCTTCCCATATTGTGTATATACTAATATGTTACAATGTATCTAATACGTATTATTTTTCACATAATATTGACATTTTAGATATCCTAAGAATAAATCAGGGTAGAGATGCTCCAGACCCTTTTCCTGAAATCCTAGTGGGACCTCAAAAGTGTGTCTTTTCTATGGCTGCCCCTACATTGTGTAGTATCCTCCCTCCGCCCGCCCCCCACCCCAATTTGGCAAGCCCCCACCCTCATTAAGACCTGGCTTTTTACCAAGGACAAGATTGTATAGATGGAAGTATGGAATGAGAACAAATGGAGCTTGCTGAAGAGTATCCAAGGCGCCGATTAAGGTACAGGGTTTTTGTTTTTATCGTTTATTGGTTTACTGTGTTATGACTGTTTTATAGCCATTGGTTTTATTGATGCTGTCAGTAGCCCAGAATTGCTTAAGATGGGCAGCCATATAGATCCTTTAAATAAATACATACATTTTTAGAAAAAAACTAGTTGCTAAAATGATGAGAATATCATTATTATTATTTTTTTACATTACCAGGGATGCTGTAGGGAAGACTTCTGGTAAGTATGAAGTCAAGCAATTTCCCAAAATAGGAAGGCATCAAGTCAAGTATTTGTGGAAATCCAATTTAAGGGTTGTTGTAAATAATTGGGCAGGAATTGGCAGAGATTTAAAGTTATAAGCATGCAATAGGAACAAAAATGCCAAAAGCCACTTAATCATTATCTGTACTTTAAAGAGTCTGAAGCAGAAGATAGTTTGAAAAAGAAAGACAACAGAGACCAGGCACTGCACTGTTCCTATTCATTTTCTTCTACTGACCATACTAGTAAGACAACACAAAGAAAAATAGTTCTATCATTCATTGCTAACGTTTTAGGGTTTGAATGCTTCTTGTGCTTGGATGCTATAAATCAGATCCGGAATGATGGAGAACAATCTCTGGGTAAAACTCATATATTTTACTTGTTTATTCAATAGCATGACAGGAAAAAAAAATAAAAATCAGATCTGGTAAAAACATAATGCACAAACATTATCCTAGGTGACATGGTACTACATGTGAATCAAACTGAATATAAAATTAAGCCAGCCAAGCAATGATTTTAAATACTCCCAATTTTTATCACAGGAATATAGCTCATAATTCATTCTACAGCAAGGTACGTGATATTTCTGTTAGACATATGCATAATTTTTTCTTTTAGATTAGAGTGGGTATGCTTTCTGATAGTAATTGAAAATATAATTGCACTATTCAGAATAAATTACCAGCAGAAATACTACATGTCCCACACAAATGAACAATAAAGTTGTGGAACAGTAGTAAATACTTACTATATTTAAAATCTTAATTTGGCAGATCAGGAAGTAAAACTTTTCAAAGGAATTGCCTATTGCAACAAAAACAAAGAGCTTTACTTTTTCTTAAAAACTGACATATAGCAAAAGCTTCCATAGACTGTAAACTATCAGAATGATAATTAAGGCTATGGAAGATTACAATACAACCAATTTAAGAAAGCTTGACAATACATATTTGCTGTGCTCAAACAACAAAGGACAAAAGAAAATGAAATGAAAAAAGCACAATATGCCCAAATATTTATTGTCAAGTTTTCTTATAATGGTTCCATGCTAAAGGCATTATTGATACAGCACTCCTGAGGTATTTGCTTCCTATTTGGGGGAGGGGGATGCACAGGTAATCATCAAATTATAACCATAACTGGCCCTAGCATTTATGCTTATAATCTCATGACAGTTGTAAATCAGGACATCATGTGACTGGACCCAAATTTTGTGAGTTTTGTTGCAGTCATTAAATCTGTGACCTTTTTTTGTGGCACTTATCGTTCACTATAGAGCGGCTTTTGCTGGAAACTGGAAGTCAATGCCAATTTCTAGCAAAACCATTGCAAAATGTGAAGATGTGACTACAGGGGTCTGCAAATGGCCATAAATACAGGCTGGTTACTGAGCACCCAAAATGTGAGAACTCCATAACCGGATTGTAGGTAGCTTCAGTCATAACTTTGAACAATTGCTAAGCCACCAATTGTAAGTCAAGGGCTGCCTGTATTTAGTTATCAGTCTGTACCATTAGGTGCAAATGATTGAAGCTTACTCTTTCCTATATCACTAAATGTACACATAGGACTGCATGATGTTCCTTAAATAAGCAGGATTTATAACATGACCTCTCTGTACTTACAGCACATTTATTTTTTACTTCAACTCAAAAGTTCACCATTACAAGCTGTAAAACTGCAGGCTCAGTTATTTAAATTGTAGTAGCTGAATCACCAAAAGTGAAATGACGTTCATTTATCTTGTCTACAGTGCTGGTCAACCAAAAGCCAAACCTCATAAGTAATAAGAAGTATTTGAGATGTCATTCTGTGACAACTAACGTGGAATTTATAAGGAAGACAAGGCTACATACTGTGTTTCCCTGAAAATAAGACCAAATCTTATATTAATTTTTGCTCCAAAAGACACACTAGGGCTTATTTTTCGGCTAGGGAAAACACGGTAATAAATGTGTCTGTCTGGCTGATGATCTTAACTGGGGCTTATTTTGGGAATGGGGCTTATATTACGAGCATCCTGAAAAATCATGCTAGGGCTTATTTTCCGGTTGGATCTTATTTTTGGGGAAAACAAGGTAGTATGTGGTGCCAATCCCATGATATGCCAACTAGCACGCACTAAAATACTCCAAATTAACCAAAAGTATGGTCTAATCAAAGTATATCCTGCCATGCTGCAGGTAAAATAGATCTCCTTCAGGCAAAGGAGGCTAAAATGGAAACAGAAATTGAGCATCTATATGATGTAGAGAGGGTTTTTTTTTTAAAGCATTGTAACTAGAACAGATAGAGTATAATTTGGAATCTGAGAAAAGAAATGAAGAAAGTCAGTAGATTGTTCCATCTCTTTGGATGCGTACATGAAGTTTATAAATGCACTTTCCCCCTCTGATGTTAATATCGGTCTGCACTGAATGTTAAAGAAACTGTACATATAATATTATAGATTTTCTCCACCTTGGTTAAGCACAGTAAAATTTGTCCGTAAACTACTAAGAATTAGTTGTCACTGTAGCACTGTTCAGTCATTAACACAGAATTGGCTGCTTTTAAACACAAAGTACAAAAGAGATTCCTTTACACATATTTGTACCAGAAAAGAAAGCATTTTTATACCGTATGCTAGGTTAGAGAATATTTCATAGTTTTTCTATTAATATGTTCTTCCCTAATTTTTTTACTATTATTTTTTTTTCAACTGGAATCTTCCCACCTCTCAAACTACAAACTTGCCTCCATCTGTGACACGTTCTCAAGGGCCATAGTGTCATCCTCTATGCCACGGGTGTCAAACTTGCTGCGTCATATGACGTGTTGCGATGAATCACAACTTTTTTCACATTGCTGGAGCTATAGTAGGCGCGGCCTCCGTATGATGCAACTGGCCTACGGGCCGGCAGTTTGACACCCCTGCTGTATGCCAAAAGCTTTTCTTCTGCTTATAAGTGAATGTTACATTTATCATCTTTGCATCTTAAGAAGACAGAACTCTTGGAATATTTCTTCCAACAGGCATCCTTTATTAAGAGAAAATGGTTGCAGGCGTTCTAGACAGGACCTGGGGCCCAAGCCCTACAGTTTAAGATTTTAAGGGGTCCCCAGCAGCCCCACCCCACCCCGCCCCACCATCTTTCCAGCAACAATCCCAGGCGTTACATTTCCACCATTTTTCCTCACTGCTGGTGGAAGGGAGACTTCAGAGAGGAGTAGATGAAAGCTGATGGCCCCACTGTTATGCTTTAGTCGTTTTGGTGGTATCCACATTCAATTCCTTTGAAGTTGTACCGAAGGAAGTGAGGGTCATAAAACCCCTTTGTTCACCCCCCTTCCCCTTCATCATATGACAGAATCCAGAGAGGCAGAAATGGGGTTTTCCATAGTCGATAACTAGAGATGAAATATAATTGGATTCTGACACTATCGCTAATTACTTATTCACCACCAGAACACAAAAAATGAAAGTCAAAGGCTGAAATCTGATAGGAGAAGGAAGGAAAGATGACAAAGTAAAGAGAAGCCATAAATCAATATTTAAGCTCAATATTTCTTATTGGAAAGGAGGAGGAGGGGATAATGTCCTTTAAGTATGATTCATTCCTAGATGACAATACAGAATGGTGGTCCATTTTATTTTCTTGGTAACAATTCTACTTTTGGAATATTTGACTTTACAGCTTAGATTTAGAGGTTTGGGTTTCTCGATAGTCTGTCATTTGAATACTAATCAGACCTGAACTTCAGTTATTTCCAGATCAGCAGTAGACAAACTTTTTCAGAAGCTACCCTTATGCAATTAAGTCACTCACAGGTCAGGGTGTTCTGGAGGGTGTTCTGGTGCTTGGGGACCACAGAAACAGTTATTTCAGAGTGGCTTCCATCCAATGTTAAAAAAAAAAAAGCAATAACTGAGCTTCTCAATCCTAAAAGGCATCTTAAGACATTTGAGTCCTAAACTAAAAGCATCTAAAAGCTTCTCAAATTATATAATTGAACTTTAGGCTTCATGCATATTGGTCATAGGAGTTAACCATACATAGGATAGGAATATCAATATCCCATTAGTTTAGTAACATATCAGAATATAAATGGCCTTCAAAAATTTGGCTCGAAGGAGATAAGGAAATGAGTCCTCAAGTTAAGGAATTAGAAGTGAAAATGAAGTGAAACAAACCTTCAGGTTCATAGGTTTTAATCCTTGTACGTATACAAAAGTCTTTCAGCAAGAATTACCTTAGCAAGAATATAATTTACAGAGGGGGTGAGAGAGAGGGGGGGAGAAATTCTGGGAATTTAAGTCCCCACATTTCAAGAGTATCTGGTTTAAGGAAAGTTGCTCAAACATTTCAGATTTGTAGTAAACCAAGTATACACATCCAGTTCAAACACAGTCGCTCAGTTCAGCAGAAGACTCAATCACAAATAAAATAAGATGTATTTTATGTTTAACTAACCACTGGTGCATGGGAATAGTACATCTCAATAGTGTGTTATTAAAATATCTAGTTGTCAGTAGGATATGAAGCATACCAGAGTAACTTAGTGATATTATAAAACCTTGAGAAAGTAAAGCCTATTGAGAAATCTACTTTTATTAACTGTTTAGTTTCTACTCTGTTTTTCCATACAATACATTCAAAATAATTACACTACACTGCATTCATATTTCAATGCTATGCAACATGTATTACATTCAGCTGTATGTTAATCTTATTAGGTTTACATTAGAATCTGGAATGTCCAATCAACCCAAACCACCTAGGTAACTGATTCTGAGAAAGCTCTCCAAGAATACACTTTGCACAATGATGCACAATATGCTGCCAAGCATAGAATGAACCCAATAATTGTTTTCCTTCATCTGTACTCCAATGCAAGTAGCTGTTTGCATGTTTCCTGCTTGGGGGAGTTAAGTGCTTCTGATCATAAAGCATTATCCAAAGCTGAGGAACAAACACAGCTTTTCATACAGATGCCTTCTTCAATAGGAAGGGCAGGGTCTGCCTGCAAGCAGAACATACTTAAAAAGAGCCTTTAGATTGAAGCCGACACAGCTCTTCCATCAGTTGATTTCTACTTGTAAAACTAAATGTTCTGCACACCCATATAGCCAAATGTTCCAGCTGCAACAGATGTGGTAGAGCTAACAGATGTGGCATTTCATCCAAGCATCTGCCAGCAGCCTTAAGGTAAGATGCAAGAGATATAAACACTTTTATTAAAGCACAACTTCTGATAGTTAAGTAGCAATGGTCACCACCCCTTTTGTTTTTAACACCTTCGCCAAGGCCTGCCTGTATTTAATTAGCAACTGCTAATTAATTTGGGCAACATCCGTGTCCTCCTCGGAAAGTGAAAGCATATTCAGGAGAGCATCTGCAAATAGAGTGCCACAAATGTCTGTTTCCTAGGCAACCCCTTCCCTCCCCCACCTTCCCCTTAGTGCTTGGGGACAGACCAGAAGGGGACGCGAAAGAAAGCAACGCGCGCCCGCTGGAAGCCTTGCACAAATATATGCATCCGAATGCCCCACGGGCCTTCGTATTAGATTTCATACGAAAATCTCGACGGCGATCCTTATTATTATTTTCGGTGGTTTCTATGGAAACGGTGACGGGGAGAAATCTGTTGCACATCCCCCCCCCCAAAAAAGAGAAGCAGCAGATACCCCGACCCCGGACACTTTTCGTCGGCTTTGACTCTCTTTCCTCACAAAGAGAGATTTTGCAAACCGGAATCGAAGGGCTTCTTTGGGGGGGGGGGGAAAGAAACCCGCAAATCACGGCCACGTCCTTCCCCCGACCCCAAATCAAGGCTGCCGGTCGAGGCCCTCCTCCCAACCTCATTTTTCTCTCCCTTCCACCTCCCCGCCCTTCTGTCCACTCTGAAAAAACTAGATACTTCCATACTTTTTACAAAGGCATCCCAAACCCAAGCAAGAGGGGCGAAGGTGGTGGTGGGGAAAGCCCCAAAACGAACATTAGGCATGCAAAGGGGAAAGTTTCCCTACAACTCACAGCAAGAAAATCCACGCGTGCCTCGGGCTCCCCCGCCGCTGACATAGATGCTCCGAAGAAGCCTCGCAGCCCGCCAATCGCCGCTTCTTAGCTTGAGCCTGGAATCAACCAACGGGGGTCGGGAGGGGGGGAGGAGAGGAGAAGGGAAAGCGAGACTCCACCCACGGGGCGGCTCCTTCAAAATAAATTTTAATTTATTAATTTATGTATATATATACATACCGCACACACTCACACATATATATCAAATAAAAAACTCAGCTGACCTCTCACTCTCTTTCCCCCTCCCCCACCGCCGCGTGTCACTTCCTTCGAAATCTGTCCGGGGGGAAGGTGGGGAGGAAGAGAGAAAGAGGGGTGTATGACTCGACACTCGTCCAGCGACATCCAATTATTTAAGAAGACGACGCCCTCACCTCTCTCCCCCCCCCCACTCCCTCCGCCTTTGCTTTCCCCGAAACCGACGGCCGAACAAAACCTCTGGGTAGAGCAGCGTTTCCCCCCCCCCCATCCCCGTCGTTCCCGCTTTTTCTCTGAGCGAAAGAGCTGAAGACAAGGCTTCCCTCTCTGTGTGTTTCCCCCCCCCCCCAAACCTCGGGCTTTTTCCAAGCTGACGCTGTGGTCAAGACGGGAACACGTGCTCCCCATTAGGGTTAATTAACAAGAACCCCGAGCGTGAATGGCGAAGGGACCGCTTCTGACAGACGCTTTATTACCAGAGATTAGGTTAGGAAATAGGTTGGTTGCGATTGCGTACCGTTTCCATACCGATTGTAAATTGAACGGGAGCTCATAGAGGCGCATAGCTGGCTGGCGATTTTTTATTTTATTTTATTTTATTTTTTTGCCGCGTTTGTGCAAGCTGGCAAGAGCCTAAGTCTAGCTGGGAATGAATGAACTTGTGGCTCACGCTCAAGTAAGAGGGAGGATCGGTTGGACTAGAAGAGCCTCAAATTGGAAAATCCCTTCCAGCGCTGTTATTTTGTATCGCCTTAAGAACAAAGTCTGCGCCGATTTTCATCCATCCTCTTCAAAGTCGAGAGCATGTGTGCTTCTAGGTAGTACTGGCTGCAGACATTTGAAAGGGAGGGGGTGGGTGGGTGTATCAGCAGCAAGAGACAATGTCTAATGATAAAAGAAGATGAAAATGAATGGTGATCTGCCCACATTAAATGCTCTGTTTTGGGACTTCCCTGGTAGACTGGATTTAGTCAGTGTAGCTTTTCGTGGCTTAATCTCTTGAAGTGATTGCTGCTGTTCCTTGTCAGGGTTTCTCTTGGTCTTCAAACCCCTAATATTTGCACATTCTGCCCAGGACAGGGAAGATTCCAATTTTGGATAGGGAGTGAAGTTTGCTGCTCCAGAGAATAGTGAGTTAAAAATATCAGGAAGCAGACTAGAGGTCAGGAAAAACTTCCTGAACATGTAAGTATGAGTCCGCAGTACAGACTGTCATGAATTAGTCATTTCTCCTTTGCTATAGGTCTTCAAACAAAGGACGGATGATCATCTGTCAGAGATGCTTGAATGATCCCTGCACAGAGCAGGGGGATAGATAATCTGTAAGATCTATCCCAATTTTATAATTCACTTACTGATCTATATTGTCATCCATGGGCACATTGCATACTGTGGTATCTAAAGTGTAGCATGCAGGAGAGCCTTTGGATTAAAACTGTTACTCTAGTCCAGGGGTCTTCAAACTTGGCCCTTTTATGATTTGTGGGCCTCAACTCCCAGAATTCCTCAGCCAGCGTGTCTGGCTGAGGAATTCTGCAAGTTAAAGTCCACAAGTCATAAAAGGGCCAGGTTTGAAGACCCCTGCTCTAGTCTGCTATACTACCAGGCTTATAATGCTGGGCCTGATTCATAATATCTGCTTGGTTAATTGTAAGGCTATTATGGGGTGAAGACTTTGGATTGCTTTTAACTGCTACATACGCCTGTTTGACTGTTCACAGATGCACAATGCAAACTGGATGCAAAAGATTAAAAAAAATCACTGGCTTTGCATTCTCTTTTAATGCTTTGGAAGGGTGGGTGTGGAGAAACATATAAACTTCCTGCCTCAGATGTTCCCTTTTGATTAAAAAAAGGAAGCAGTGGAGGGGGATGAATCTGTCATCTCACCTTCCATTCACATACAGTTTCTTTTCATGTGCTTCAATAATCAGATAGGGCTTAGAATTTCAAACACAACTTCACCAATCTTAAAAGTTTTACTCTCCTCTGGAATTTGGTGCACTGGTGTAGTTTCTGCTATTAGTCTATCAAATGCTACATGCTAAATGAATAAGCTGAAACTGTTATTTTTCACTGTTCAGAAATGGGGAAAAAAGACTAATCTGCAAGAAAAATTCAAAAGTCTGAACCAATTAACCAATACTAAGTGGTTCAACGATGCTGTGTAACAAACAGAAATTTAAAAGGGAGTATTTGTAGCTCAGGGCTGAAATGAGGAATCCTTGGTGTTTTCTGAACTTGGCTGTTTTCTTGCAGATGTTTTATTATCCAAACTAGGTAACATCATTCAGTGCTTATATGGAGTGGGGTTTGCACTCAGTTTATACTCTAATGGCTTGCTCTGTCAGTGTTGATGTGAGTGAACAGAAATATATATAATTTTGGAGTAATGTGTATGTGAATATGTCTATATCAGTGGTGGGATTCAGCCGGTTTGTACCACTTTGGCAGAACCGGTAGCTTATTTTTTGTTGCCCAGGTCCAGAATGGACTTCCGGAAGCGGTATCCACACAGAGAACTGTGGTTCACATATTTGAATCCCACCACTGGTCTATATGTAGCATACTAGTACTGCAAATTGATGCAATGCTATTACAACAGTAGACCTAATGAATAGGGATATATAAAATGTAAGGAGCAACTATAAAGAAACAGAAGCCCTGCATCCACCCTAATTGAAAAACAGCTACTTACCAACATGACAACGTAGCAGAGAGGAAGCTGCTCTCTTGATATAGACTAACTTGAGACGACCAACTGCATATTACATCCCAAGAAGACATGGAACAATTGGATGTGCAGTCAACATCTGAAACCTGAACATCACTGCCACCCCCACTATTACAGAACAGAACAGCTGATAATGAGGCATAAGATCATGGATAAACTAACTATAGTCAATCCTTGAGACCAGTTTCCAAGTCTCCGTGGAAAAGTACTATCAATGGAGCCCTCACAACATTACCATCTAGATCAGGGCTTTTCAACCTTTTCACACATTGTACCACTTTTAGGAAATGGCAACATCTGAGTACCACCTAGCAAGGTGTCAAAAACTTGATGACCAAAAAAAAAAAAAAAAGGAAAAAAGTGATAAAGTACAGGTAGTCCTCAACTTATAATAGTTCGCTTAGTGACTGTTCGAAGTTACAATGGCATGAAAAAGTGCGTCTCAAGCCACAGCCGAGCAAGACACCTGCCTGCCCACCTGGTGGCACTCTTTCTCCTGTCCAAGGTTTTCATTGTTGTGAGCATTTCTGTTGAGGATTGGCAGCGGGGGTGGGGTGGGGGTGTTTGGTTTTTATTCCCCCCATCTGCTGGGTGGTTGCAATAGGTTTTGGTCACTTCACATGACCCTGGGACACTGTGACCGTCATAAATATGAATCAGTTGCCAAGCATCTAAATGTAAATCACAAGACCCTGAAGATGCTGCAACATTCCAGCTGATCGGCACTTCTGGGCTCAGCAGAAGTGCCAGGATCAATGCCGAGCTCCAGTTGGAGTCTGGCGCTGATCCTGGCGCTTCCACTGAGCCCTGACCCCCAAAGGATCGCCGATCAGCTGGAAAGCGGAACTGATCCTGGCACTTCCGCTGAGCCCTGACAGCCGTGCAGCTCCCGCCATCTCTCGCTCAGGCTTGTGTGGTGCTGCCATCGGTTCAGCTCATTCCCCTCCTCTGCTACCACTGGTCACGTACCACCTGTCAGGTGCCAATGTACCACAGGTGGTACTCATACCACTGATTGAAAAGCCCTGATCTAGATAGTATGTAGGAGTACATCGGTATGATGTCATTCACAGCTGAACTGCTAAGAGAATGCCTGAGGCAGCAGCCGACATGGGAAGAAGATCAAGCAGAGGAAGTATCATGGCAAGACAAGAGCTCGTGTGCAATGTACCATCAACAGAGAGCTGAGGTGGCTAACATTGGAAAATCCTACCAATGGCTAGAAAGGGCTGTTTTCATATGTTAAATATTATTTGCTAATCATAGGGATTAATGACAATTTAAAAACATTTATGAATGCATAAGCTATCAACTAGTTAATTTTATTGTAAGTAAATATGCTTTAAATATACACACATACATGTGTCTGAAATATCTCACACGCAGAGAGTACGTTATTTAAGTACATGACAATACATGATATAACTATAATCTTCAGAGGAGTAATCACGTTAACTCAAGAAAAAATAACATGTTGTAAAATGGTAATGCCACAATAAATCTGTTGGCCTTCATAGTGCCACAGGACATCCCTTTTTAAATTGCACTCAAATCAGTATCAGCATAGAATGTAATGAACAAAAATGTTTACTGAGCTCATCAAATTTGACCCAAATATGCTTTTGCCTAACTGGACTTCCTTGTTTTTCTTTCAAAATGTTTTGCTTCTCATACAAGAAGCTTCAGCTCTGAAGCATCTTTGGGACAACTAGGACCTGGATGACTGAGAATCTCCATAGACATCAAATTTGACCAAAATCTGATGGAAATATCAGACACACTTATCCGAACAGATCTACTATTTGGGCATTTACAAAAATAACATCAGTAATCTTTTAAAAAGTCACACCCTTTCCTCTTTTTCAGTTCTAGAAAAAGAGAACAGCCCAGGTTCATTAACTAAGAAAATGTGATCCAAAACCTTTTACCTATAGCTCATTAATATTAATCTATCATGCTGGATGCTCACATGTTTTAAAAATCTTGTAAATACACTACAACAGGGGTCCTCAACCCCAAGTCTGTGGACCGGTCCAGGCCGTGGCATGCCAGCAACCGGTCCGCACAAGCAAGCAAAGCCCCATCTGCGGGATGCAGGAAGCACACAAAACCACACACTCTCCAGTATGCAGAAAATCTTTCTCCATGGAACTGGTCCCTGGTGCCCTAAAGGTTGGGGACCT